TGAATTGCAGCTGCGAACTGAACAGGGCAGTGGGAGAAGGAATGGGCTTTAAGGGGGAAAAAGGCTCTTCCCACTCCCAGGTTCCCCCAGCAGTGGTGGCAAGGCTGGGCACAGGGGAACAAGTTGAGCTGAGTCTGCCTATCTGAGTCCAAACTGGGCCTTTCCTATGAAGGGTGAGTGCATGCATCCCCACATCCAGACCACAGACACGGCACAAACAACAAATGGCACAAGGACTCCTACTCCAGCTACATGTAGACATGTAGATGAAAGCCCTAGGACTCAAGATGCATGTTTAAGGCACTGGTCACAAATATTGGCAGAGCAGGGTGTCCCGGTTTCAGGTGGGATAGAGTTAATTTTCTTCCTAGTAGCTGGTATAGTGCTGTGTTTTGGGTTTAGTATGAGAATAATTTTGATAACACACTGATGGTTTAGTTGTTGCTAAGTAGTGTTTATACTAGTTAAGGACTTTTTAGCTTCCCATGCTCTGCCAGGTGCACAAGAAGTTGGGAGGGACCACAGCCAGGAGAGCTGACCCAAACAGACCAAAGGGCTATTCCATACTGTATGATGTCATGCTCAGTATACAAACTGGGGACAGTTGGCCAGGGGGCAGCGATCGCTGCTTGGGGACTGGCTGGGCATCAGTCAGCGGGTGGTGAGCAATTGCATTGTGCATCACTTGCTTTGTATATTATTTTATCATTAGTAGTAGTAGTATTATCTTCTCTTCCTCTGCTGTCCTATTAAACTGCCTTTATCTCACCCCACAGGTTTTACTTTTTTTTTTTTCTGATTCTCTCCCCTATCCTACCAGGGCAGGGAGGGTGAGTGAGCGGCTGTGTGGCACTTAGTTGCTGACTGGGGTTAAACCATGACACAGGGACATCAGGCTCCTATGGCTGTCTTTATGCTCTAGCGTCAGAGTCCCATCTCTGTATGTTTGTACAGCCCTAATTATGGTTCTGCATATGAATTAAGGTTTCTCTATAGAGCTAGACTGGACTCGTCAGCCAGTGTGATAGTTGAAGCCACATAGGCAGAGCTTACAGCAGCCCACTGCAAAACCTGGCTCTCCAGGTTGTGAAATGCCCTTGCCCAGCCAGTGGACATTCCAATATCACCTTGAATCCTTGCTTGGGCTAGGCCCAGGAAGTCCTCACCCATGGTGTCATGGTGTAAGTCAGCTCTGCTGAGACATGCCAGAGTCCTGCTTTCAACACTTTTGGGGACCTCTACAAGCACAGGAGGAGAGGTCTTAGGCTGGGTGCTGCAGGGCTATGCAAGGGCTGGAGCACAGTGTGTCACCCTTTCCCTTGGGGACAGGCAGCTTCTCCCTGCAGAAGGTGGGGATTTCCCACCCCAAGAGTAGGCTCACCCCCTCTCATGCAGCCCCTGGGGTGGGTGCTTTAAAAGGCCATGGCCGGTTGCCACAAGCAACCTGCCCATTTTTGATTTGTTCCCATTGTGAATATCTCCACCATGTATGAGCACAGTGCTATTCATTTGAGAGGGATGTGGCATTAATATTTCTGTTTATTTATGTTAGTTTAACTGGTTACATTTGAATATGAAAAAAATTCTTTTCTGCCAACTGCCAGAATGGTTTGAAGCAGCAAAGAGACAGGCTTTAAAAAAATGCATTCCTGTGGGGTCCTCTTGTGTTTAATCCCTCTTTCAACAATTTCTGCGTCCTTTGGGGAATAAAGCGTCCCTATTCCAAGGCTGCTGTCATATCTAGGCATCTTAAGACACCCAGAGGAGACCACTTGCCTGTGTAACCTGTGCTGACAACTCCCCCCTCCATCTCCATCACTGACCTTGGCCAAGGTCACTGCAAAGGAAGAAGGCCTCATGAGAGGGCTTCTTTGGTCACCTGAAACAGAGCTGGAGATGGTGACATCAAAAAATATGATCATAGTGGGATAGAAGAGAGGAAGGTTACTTAAAAGAATAGCTTGGGATAGGTTAGTCAGAGCAGCATACAAAGATGTACGGAGTATGCAAAGGTAGAGTAATCAAGGCTTTGCTGTACATTTCTAGGTAATTATACACATCAAGAGATTAAATTTTTTGGTATCAGTTCCATGATCTTCTCTGAATGAGTGTACTCAACCAGTGCAAGACAGCCTTTTTTGAGTTGGAATCCACCTCAGATGGACATTCCCCCTGCCTGAGTATTTAATTCTGATCGACCTGTGTGTCTACCTTACAAAGAGGAGTTACACTGGCCAGATAACTGGCTGGTTTGATACACAACTTTAATTTTATTTAGCACGAAAATACGAAGTCACCCATTAAGAAGTACTATTTCAAATGCAACTTATTTGCACTATTTAAAGCACATATGCACAAGCTAATATGTTCTGCAAGAAAATCTACTTTCAGTATATTTCCTCTGCTTTTAAAATACTGACCATTTAACTGCTTCTCACCTCTCAGTCTTGCTGAACAGCTATGTTATGCTGCTTTGGCTGTAGTTATTGCTCATTTAAACCTGCATTAAGGGACACAATCGGATGTGTGGCATCAATATTCTTTAACCATTCCACTTGCACATAAAAGACAACCATGAATCCTGGGTTCTCAATATCACTATGTATTTACTGCTGCTGTCACTCATAACAACAGCCAGAAGCAGAGGAGCTTGGAAAGCTGTCTGAGGATTAGTTTGAAAGACTTCACCCCTGAGGTGAAATTGTCTCTTCGTGGTACAGTTACCTTATGGGTCCTATTATATTAAGACAGAAAAATATGGGCTACTTTCACACTGCAAATACATGCCAAGCAGGACTGAAAGATCTACACAGACATTGTCATGAGGAAAAAAGGAAGAAAAAAGATACAGAGATAAAAAAGCTTACTTCAAAGCACCAAAATGATACCATTTTGCATAAGTATATGTCTATTGAAAAAGGTTCCAGCTGGTGTGCTTAGATTAATGTTATTACCCACCATAAATATAATGGAAACAGCTGTACTTTCTATCTTCCTAAAGGATGATACTTACATTAAAGCTCCATTGATTTTCAAACTATAAATACAGGAGTAGTACAATAGCAGGTATGAGACTTGTGGACTTTCAAATCCCTCTCCATTTTTGGATCTTCTAACAGAAATGTTACTCTTGAATCATGTTAGTATCATGATGCAGAATTGTTTCAAGCTGGAAATACTGTTCTGCTTTGCTTTGCTCCATTCTGTTCCAATGTACAAGTGCTGATCTCCTTCCTCTTTCAACTAGGGAGCTACAGGGAGTCATTACACCATGTGGACCAGTCCAGGAGGGCATTTAGGTGCTTTGAGTGAAAGTTATTGTTTAAAACACAGAAACAGCTTTCTGAAGAGCCAAGCTCTTCTCTTGCTGTGGCTCAGCCATTGAGTTAAGCTGGATTCACCCTTGCTCCCATTTGCTGCCTCAGTTGCGCTATGCTCCAGGAAGAATAAAACTGCTTTAACCAAAAAAGGGAAATTAAAGCCCAAGTGGCAGAAGGAAGGAGACTCAATAAAGTATTGTGACTTAGGAGCTGTCTTGGAAGATATCATATTTGGGTCTGAATGCACTCAGACTGGGACGCAGCTAACCCAGGTCTTCCATAGCTTTGGTGGGGACTCTAGCTGCAGATACAGTGAGTTAGGAGTTGGAAGGCTCTGATGTCTTCAGCTGCATTGTAAGAACCATTTCTCTTCCATTTCCAAGGTGTTGGTATCCACCTCCTGGATTGTGAGTCCAGAAAGTTAGGAGACACCTTGTAGCAGTGCTGAATAAAGCACTCTCAAAGAAGGAAACGCACAACACAAGGTAGCTTTCACACATCAGCCTTCCACAGTGAGTTGCTGATTATGTCTATTAAGAGAAGTCTCCATCCACTTTCTGTGAGCTGGCTAGTCCTGAATCAGCTCTGAACCCATGATGTTACACAACATCACAGCCAGCACAGCTCTGAGACTGGACTAATAAGGCCTTGATGCCCTGTTAAAACATCTGCACAGTTTCTTGCTTGTGCGAGGTATTGACAAACTGACCTCACATCCAACTGCAAAAAGCCACACTGACTTGCCTTTAGGTAACTCTCCTCTGAAGGGGCTTTTTTGTGGGTACTGTATTGAAGTACAGACTCCATGCTCTGGATAGGCAGTCTCAGTGCCTTGTTTAGGGACTCCGCTCTGCAAACCAATGACACATCACAGCATACAGCATTCTTGACTTGCACAAACCTTTTTGGATTGGTGCTTGTGTAAATACAATATATTTATACATGGTGATAAATCTTTGTTAATGAGGCTGCAGCATACTTGCTGCCTTTTCCACTAGCACCAGTGCTTTGAATCAATGGCAACATCACATTTTTAGGACAAAAAAAAATTTCAGGATAGACGTGCTTGTGTGTAAAGGTAGAAGTACAGAGGGCCAAGCAGTGTATGTATACCCCCTGAAAGGTATAGAGTTTGGGACTCCATAGGAACCTTGCACAAATGTAAGGGACTGAGAGGAGAACGACTGTGATAGAAAGCAAGGTAGATTACTCAGTTAATCATTACCATCCTGTCTCTGGGCCCAGGGTGGTAATGCAACCTCACAGCTGCAGCAGACTGTAGCTCTGCATGGTGGAGATCTCCTCCTTCTGCTCACCTTTGGCACAAGAGATGTGAAAGCTTTCCTCAGATTCCCAGAACTAAGGGGATTTTTTGCATTAGTGAGAAAAAATGAATTAGTGTCTGAAGGCCAAAAATGTTGAGGGTCACCTGTAGGTGTCTCTTCCTCTGCTAATCTATACTAATTAAGGTATGTAAAATAAGCATTCATGCAATACACAGGAAGATAATAGACTGACTAGATGAAGATTGGTATTTGCACATGGCAGGTTCTAGTCAGTAGGCAGTGATTAGTGAGTTACAGCAAATCTTCATTTTATCTTCTGGAGGGCATTGCAAAGGATCCCCATCTCACCTGCAAAAGAAAGAATCAAAGCAGTTAATCCTACAGCTAGCCCATTTCTAACAGTCCTGTACATGTTTACCTTTTATATCCATTCCCTGAAAGAATAAGATGAACAAAGAAATGCTGGATCAGAGACATTTATTAGGGTCTTACTGGAGTAAGGTTTGAAGAGTCACCCCTTTGCCTTCATCAGCCATATGAGGATGGCTCAGAGGAGCAGGGGTGCTGGCTTTTAGCAGTCTTGCCGATGTTAGGGGGAAAACATATCAGGAAAAAGGCTAGAATGGCAAAAGGAAATAGGATTAAAGCCAAGCTTTTCCTTTTCTTCCTTAAGGAGAACTGCTAGACACACACATCAGAACCCATCACAAGGCCCTCTGGCCTTTCCTAGAACCTCCACTAACACTGGATATTTCAGATGTAACAAACTACAGTCAAGCGGAAATGTTATTTTGAAGCTTGGCCAGAATTAGGAAGCAATTTTTGCACCAGAAAGGAGATGTGTGCTGGTTGAATTTGGTTAGGCTCAGAGCATTAAATACAAACAGGCGAAATCTGCTTTGTGGTTGCTATTTCTGATCCAAGTTTTGAGGAGTTCAAGGTAACAAATCTGCAGTTCCTTACCATTGATAGTGTCGGCTAAGTTCTTCAGCTGCTTTGCATTGTCCAAGACTTCAATCCTCTGGGTGTAGGGATTGTACCGAACAGAGAAAGGACGAGGGATTGTTTGAGCAAATTTCCTGAGGCAAAAATACAAAAACACATACAAACTTGAAAAGCTCCTTCTTTTCAGTAACTCACTCGTTTCTTGGTGTGTGCATTTGATGAGGGAATAAGAAAATCTGCGAGAGGAAATAACTGAAATTC